CAGCAACCTTCAGCAACCAACCTACCAACGACGACGAACCCAACTCTTTACATAATTCAAAAGACCGTTAATTTTTTTTTTTCATGTCCAGAAATTTCTTGAAAAAAATACGATCACACAGTTTTATTTGATTGTTCTTTTAGTTGGCCACGTCCGTGAGCTGCAATTGCTGAGAATTGGACTAAAACGACGATGTATGTCATACCGGAAGCAATAATCTAAAAGAAAAAACAACATTTAAAAATAAAACGAGTCTTCAACTTCAACAAGATATTAACATGAACGGGCGTGACCCAAGTTGAGATCGTCTAGGAAGTACGTCCGTTTTATGTGCCGTTACTAAATGGACAGCCAATACAGACTCTCATAGCGCGTGTAGGCAGGCAACAATTCGCCTGCAATGCATGCGTGTACTTCGGGGTGGCCTACCCTGGGTGTCGCAGGCGCCGAGCTCCCGTAATTTTATCAAATTAATCTGGAAAAAGCGAATGTGCTTTCTGGGCGATCCCTAATGTACTCACCCTATTCATAGTTCTCAAGTCAAAATAAAAGAGATCGAAAGCACCAAATCGAATCTTCTGTCTTTGTGTCTGGCAGATAAACCACTGAATCTGCGAAAGAGTGAAACAAACGATCTCAAAGCTACTCCTACTCGGGTGATTCCTGTAAGGGGTGCGAGTAACAAAACAACTTATACTTCTCTTTTGACTGAAGGATCCATGTCTGGGCAGCGAGTTATCCCTGCCTGCAAGGCGTCCGAAATCCTAGAACTCTGCAAATGAATCGACCTCAGGGGATGGCTGACCTAAACACAACTACACCAGCCTTGTGCCCTACTCCACCGAGACTCACCTCAGAGCTCATCTGTTCTCCAATGGCGCAGATGAATAGGAGTTTGCCGATCAGGACGGTGCCCCAGAACAGGAAAAAGACTCCATCCGCTGCGTCAAAGGCTACGTCAAAATCTTCCCCGACGTCCCCCAGCATGGCGGCGCGCGCCATCGTGAGGATCACGCCGCAGTACAGGAACGTGACTCCCCGCAGGAGCGAGAAGCTGCAGATGACCAGGTTGCACCAGCCGTACAGCCAGTTGGTGGCGAGCACGACGTCATGCACGCACTGGTAGCGCACCCGGAGCGCACGCAGGCCGGCGCGTGCCGGCGCACGGGCGTCGCTCTGCTCGCCGCCGAGCTCGTCTAGTTCGCGGGGCCTCGTGACAGGTCCGCGCCGGTGCAGGAGCGTGTTGACGAACTCCCGCACTCCGTCAGCGACGCCCGCCAAAGAGTCCACGCTCGCGGTCACTATGCAGGTGAACGAGTCCTGTATCGCGCTAATCAGCAGGGTCGGCAGCAGACCAGTGACGAACTGGGCCCCTCCGAGCCAGGTCCGGAAATAGAAATCCTAGGTGACAAAATACACAAAGTGAAAAGCCATAATAAAACAAACAAAAAAAAACAAAAAACAAAAACAGAACGTGCGGACTATCGATGTAGGACTGGGATCGTCTAAAATGTACGTCCGTTTTTCGCGGATTCTGCGGGCAAATTACTAGAGCTTGACGCCTCCGCAACTCAGGGTAGGCCGCGCCGCAGTACACTTCAGGCAAGATGTCTCTCTCTCTCTCCACCGTGTGACGGGCGTACTTTCTAGATGGTGCCTAGCGGGGAACTCGTACTTCGTGATAGATGCAGTGAAAAGCGTAGAAGGCGAGGTTGGCTCCGAGGCACATCAGGACGGCACGCCTTGCCACTTGCTTGCGCTTCGGGGCCCGGAAGGAGTGTACGTGAAGGAGCACAGCTCTCGCGAGCAGGCTCAAGGCGCTGGAATAGTGCACCATAACCACCTGTAGCAGATAAAAGTCGGGTTCGATAATGGCACCTCCCCCCCCCCCGTGGCAAAGAAGAACGGCTTGTCTGGACACGTGCTTGCCCTTCGGTCCCGAGAAAGAGCGTAAGTAAAGGAGTACAGCTCCAACGAGAAGGCTCAAGTCGCGGGAATGGTGCACCACGACCGTCTGCAGCAGAGGGATGGCCAATTTGAAATAGAGATCAGCAGAGCAGGACCACGTCGTCTCCTGCGTTTACCTGTATCAGCACGAATGAGATGCACTTCGCACCGATGTCGCATTTAAACAGACGGAACATGAACGAAATGTCGTCCGATATCGTAGTATTCTTCGAGATCTCGGGCTACGCAGTTTAAATAAATAACATCAATCGGTTGCAAGGTTTTTTTTAAGCTTCCAGATATTACCAGGAGCGAATTAATTCACCCCCTGGATTTGAATTGATTATTTTTGTTGTACCGACCTGAATCAGAGATAAAAGCACCGCAGTTCTGGCAATGCTGAATACTACGAGAGATATTAAGGCGTAGGACGTCCAAGCCCGCGACCAGCGCGGCGGCCAGCCGCTGCAGCTGAGGATCCCGACCAGAGCAAGTGCGATGGACCTCATAATGGTGTCGATGGCAAATAGGCCGACGACGTACGAAATTAGGCCCGAACTGTGCTCCACTGACTCGAACCGTGCAATCTGTGCGGTTTCGACATTTGACACCAATCAGTTTACACGATTTTTGTTACGTATAGAAGGCCTACATTTTTAATATGGACCACTTTGTGTTTTCAACCGACATAAGCTTGAACGGTGGGCCAAAGCAGCGTAGCTCTCACAAGGCTGAGTGCCACCAGAGACGCGAAAGCGTAGCAGGTCCAAGGGCGCGACCAGCGCGGCGGCCAGCCCCTACAGCCGAGGACGCCGGCCAGCTGCAGCAGCACATGCATGCAGTGCCAGTGCGCCACCAGGACGCGCTGGGAGGTAGCCAACGATCCCGTCGCCGACCTCGTCGCCGACCCGCGCGGCCGCCGCCAGGAGTGGGCCATCGCGCGGGCTGCACACAACTGGTGAGCACGACGCCCGCCCCAATGCGCCACGGAGCCGCAGGACGGTCGGTCGATGTGTATAAGGATAAGGACGCCGCCTACAGGACATCGACCGTAACGGAGTACTGACGGCTTGTCGGGACCTCTTCGCTTAATGCGCGCGCTGCTGAAAAATACTCGAAAAAATCCATATGCTGTTGTGTTCAGCTGATCTTGTTTGCCTGCGGACTTTTAAAAAAATGGTATGTATGAACTTCATAACCATAGTCCGCGGTTTGAGAAGTCAGCCTCAAAACCCCTCATCCTCATGCATTTCGTTGTCTTACTTTACCAAACGAACTCGTGTGGGCCCCTTGCCTACTTGCTCGGAAAAGTGGGGGGAGGGGGGGCAGAACGCTGGGCAGCGGCAGCCAACTGCTTTCTGTCGTCCGGAGTCCTTGTTGCACTACACCAGGGTGCTTGGTGTTAAGGGCGGGCCATTCCGACTCCACATTGCTATGTGGCTGGTTGACCTGCCCCAGAAGGTTGCAGGCATTTTCATTTCACTGTCTGCTATCTGTACACACTAAGGCCTCGTAGGCTATTATCATTCTATGGGGGGACCTAAATAAAGCGCCAGAGGTAGGTAAACCGGCTGCTCAGCACGCCTGCACGTGGAATGCTCTAACAAGAAAATCCGACTTGGAGACACCTGGTAAGGAATTTGTTAATCAAGTATGGGCGGGTAGTCCAATTTTATTGAAGTTTATCAAAACTATTTCATTGATTGATGGACGTCAATCAAAATTTAATGACTTCTTATAGTTCAAAGATATTGCTCTCTGCGTTTGCCTTGAGCTGAGATTGCAGAAAACTGTACTAAAATGACGATGTTTGTCATGCAGGCGGCAATGGTCTAAAAAAGAAAAAAATGATGCAAGGATAAACACTGAAAAAAAAACTTAACATGTGAACTTGCGAACCTGGGAGAGCCATAAATAAACTTACTCTCTTGATAGTATCCAAATCGTAATACAAGAGATTGAACGCCCCAAATCGAATTTCCTGCATCTGTGTCTGGCGTAAAAACGATTGAATCTGTAAAATAGTGAAAAATGCGCTTTCCAATTTTGGACTGTAAACTGATCACTCTCGTCCACCACCACCGTACCTTTTCCAGCGTGTTGACGAGAAGTCAACAAGCTGGGAATAGATAGAGATATTTTAAGAACGATAACGAAACAATGTCGAAACGATCAAATTGGGGTCGAACGATGTCGTTTCGATGCAGCTTTGGCGGTTAGTTCTTAAGTGTGTTAGTTCCGGGTGTAAATGAAAAATAGAACAGACCTCTCGCTCGATCCGAAGGTCTATGCCTGGGTGACGAGCCAACCCCGTCTGCAAGGCGCTCGAAATCCTGAAATTCTGGAAGAAGTTTGTCTGGAGGTTATTGGTATGCCAAAAAAGAACCACTGCGTGCCCAAAACAAACTCTGTCTAGGACTCACCTCCGAACTCATCTGTTCTCCAACGGCGCAGATGACTAGAAGTCTAGTGGTCAGCAATGTCCCCAACACCAGACAGGAGGCTCCGTCGAACGCGTTAAAGGGAAGCGGATCCTCGTAGTCGCCCAGCACCCCGGCGAACGTGATGGTGAGCATGACGCCCGAGTACAGGGACACCACCCCGCCGATGAGCGTGGCCGTCCCGGCGAGCAGGTTGAACCAGCCGTAGACCCAGTTGGTGGCGTGCACCACGTCCTGGACGCACTGGTAGCGCACCCGGAGCGTGCGCAGGCCGTGCAGTAGGACGCGCGCGTCGCCCTGCTCGCCCAGGAGCACGGGGACCCGGCCGCAGTGCGCGGGGCAGGTCGCCGAGCACGCTGTGCCGGGCGCGCCCGCCGCTCTCACAGACCCGGCCGCGGCCACGCGCGGCAGCGAGGCGACGTGCTCGTGCACGCCGTCAGCGATGGCCGCCAGGAAGTCGACGTTGGCCGACACGACGTGCAGGAACGAGTCCTGCGTCGCGCTGATGAGCACGTCTGGCATCATGTCATTCAAAATAAAGAACATGCCGTCCCATGTATGTACGAACAAGTTCTGCGGCACAGGAGCAAGTGTTAGACTGTGGCCGCCGCCGTGCAAGTCACCAAGCCGAACTAGCCAACTGTCGTACGGCATAAATGATGCTGTAAATGGAGTTGAAGGCGAAGTTTGCCCCGAACCACGCGATGGCGGCACGCCTGCACCCGTGCTTGTGCCTCGGACCCGGGAAGGAGTGCAAGTAGAGGAACACGGCCCTGACGAGCAGGCTCACGTCGCGAGAATGGAGCACCATAACCACCTGCAGCATTAGGATGTTCGGTTGAGCCGAAAGTGAATATCCCTCTACCTCTATCGCCCTCTTACCTGGGTCAGAATAACGGTGAGGCCCTTTATACACAGGTTGAAGGCGCCGAGCCAGAAGATGTACGAAATTTCGTTAGGATATGAACTTTTTCGCGCTGTCTCGACCTGAGGCTGTGCATTTTCGATATTTTACAATTTTGTAACACCACAAAGGTATCTTCCAGAAAGTACGTCCGTTTTCCTCAGATTCATTCGCCCAAGTAACGGAAGCTCAGCGCCTGCGAGACTCAAGGTAGGCCAACCCGCGCTGCACGCTTGCACTGCAGGTAAGATGTTGCCTACCGATCAGGCGCTATAAGAGCCTTGCAGATGCCTAGACAACGATGCAGTTTCGTATCGGCGATTGACAGACGTACACTTTCTGGATGACCCCTGTAAAGGCTTCATGCTGCATAACACACATTTCAGGTTAGAGAACAGACCTTGAACACGGTGAAGAACAGAAAGGCAAACAGCGCGACCCTGGCGACAGCCAACACCACCAGAGACACGTAGCCGTAGCACGCCCAGTGGCGCGACCAGCGCGGCGGCCAGCCGCTGCAGCTGAGGATCCCGACCAGCTGCAGCGCCACCAGGACGACGTGCCAGTGCGCCATCATGACGCGCCGGGAGAAGGCGACCGTCTCCCATGGCCTCGGGCGCCAGGAGTGCGCCATCGCTCATCCTTCACGCGACTGATGAACTCTCGCCTTGCGAGCGGGCTACGGCCGAGCGGTCTCTTCGATTCGTCGTGTAGCTGGACGCCGCGGCTGGTCGATTTGCCCGACGGACGCTCCTTAACCTGGCGTATCGACCTCGTCTGGTCACTTGATGGAGGGCGTGGGGAACAACCGCCGGAGGTCTCTTCAGTTGTGACGTGCAGATCGTGAGCCGCGCACCGCTCCCGGGCCCTGGCCGCTGACGCTGTCCTGATGGGCGGGGACGGGCGGCCCCAGGACGGCGGCGGTGAGGTTGTGTCGCCCTGGGTCCGGCCGACGCTCGTGTCCTGGTGGCTCTGGTTGTCCCTCGCGCGCATCGTGGGTTTCCTTCCGATTAACAAGATCGAGGGCCGCGGTGACTTACCGGACGTGTCTCGAGCCTGGACCAGGTAAAACATGCCGCCAGAGCAACGCCGACGGCTAACACAGTAAGCGTCGTCTTCGCCTCCCTCAGGTACGGCATGGGGCTGCTGGCGACACTGACGCTGCTGCGCGCCACGTCCACGGCCTTCTTCTGGCTTGGGCCGTACCCCACCCAGTGCATGTCACACACCGATGTGTTCCACACGGCCTTCATCGCCATGGTGATGCTCAAGATCCTGGGGATGAGCGTGGTCTCGCTGGCGTGCTTGCGAGCGAGACACTCGCAGTGCGCCGTGGTCGCGGGCCTGCAGCGCTGCCTGGAGCTGCAGCCCCTGCTCCGGCCGGAGTGCTGGGCGCGTCTCCTGGCCATCAACGCAACCTTCTTTGCGCTCCTCATCTTTTTCCCGTTCTCGAACTTGACGGGCGCGCAGAGCATAGAGCTGACCTTCGACGTGTTCTCTGACGTGTGCGACGTGCTCTCCACGCTCCTCCTGGCCGTCTTGGAGGGCGTGTTCGCCAACGAAGTCTCCCTGCTCTGGGCCTTCTGCACCGACCTGCGCCTGCGTATTCTTAGCCTCCTCCTCACCTCGCCAACAAGCCCGGCCTTCCCTCCCGCGTCCCCGTCGACCTCCCCGCTGGCCTCCTCGCCAGCCTCCCCTTTTCTACTTCGTACCACCCCGGGCGATGTCTCTCCGCTCCAGTTGTCACCCTGGTCGATGGAGAACGGTCGCCACCCGGACCTGACCTCTAGCCCCGGCGGCCAGTCGGTGGACTCCGCCTGGTCGTCGGACACGTACTGTCGTCCTGCCGCCCGGAGCCCTCCGGCCGAGGTCGCCGTCTCCTGGAGGGAGGTGCGGCTGCGACACATCCGCCTGCAGGACGTGCGGCTCGCCATGTGCTCGGCGAACGGCTGGCCGAACCTGATCGCCACCACGCTGTCCCTCCTGGACACGTCCGTGTCGCTCTTCCAGGACGTGTCCTCGGTCGAGGCCCAGGACAGGGGCTCCATGCCGTTCTTCTCGGCGGCTTGGGGCCTCGTCGTGGCCGCAAAGTTCGCGTTCATTTGCTGCACCTGCCAACAGGTGCAGAACGAGGTGAGACCCGCATCCCAGCCGTTGGTGCTTCCAAAATGCTTTCGCTATGACCGGCTATGACCTAACGCCACCGTACTCGTGTCGCAGCACTCTGCCATGTTGCACGCCCTGAACGGATTTCTGGCGCGCTACCCGGACCTGCCGTCCGACGTGAACTCAGAGGTGAGCAGAGCGAAGATTCCGGGGGGGGGGGAGGGGCTTACAGTCCGCTATTCACTGGTTGACTCGTATTTTCGTTCTTCTAAGGTGCGGGGCTGCATCTCTCAGATACAGCTGTTAAAGAATGATTTTACTGCTCTGGACATCGTCACCCTCAACGTGAAGACCATGGCGTCGGTAAGCTTCGTGATCATTTTTGTGACTTTACGCATACTATAAAAGTAATCAAACAAGGCGATTTTTACTATTCTTGTCATAGACTATTCTGGCTGTTTTTTCGTATATTGTGGTTCTGGTGCAGTTCGACCGCTCATGCTGACAGGCTTCTCTGAGCTCGCAAGGCGGCACAGTGAGCAGAAGAGTTTGAGGGACAGAATGACATGGCAAGACAAGACTCAGAATGTACTACATTGCTATCAGTTTATTAAATTTAGATGTATCACAACCATGATGTAATCTCCTCCGAAATTATTTGATTTGGTTTTCCAGAAAAGTCCGGGTCCGTAGTCATGGGGCAGCAAGTCGGTGGGGTGCGAAGCTGGCGTGGAGTTGGCGCTTAACGGTACAGGTAGGCGTAGGGGGAGGCGGCGTAGCCGTAGCTGCTGTAGCCGACGGCGGGCACGGCGCCGTAGGCGGAGTAGGTGCTGACGGCGGGGACGGCGCCGTAGGCGGAGTAGGCGGAGACGGCAGGGTAGGCGGAGGCGACGTAGGGGGAGGCGACGTACACGGCCTCGGAACCCTTCAGGTCCTTAGCGGGCACGGCGGCCACAACAGCCAGAACGGCGAAGAGAGCAACAATCTGGAGAGCGAAAATGGGAGAAAACGACATGTTATGAATTAATTCACACCAAAAATCTATTACATTTTGTCTGTGTCATTTTCTTCTCGGTCACTCTCAATCCTTATGTTAAATTATTGCGTTTCAGAGAGGCAGAGCTGACTGATCGCTGGGGACTTAAAACCCCCTGACAACAGTAAACAACAGCAAAGGGGATACTCACGACGGCCTTCATGGTGATGGTTTGCAGCTTGTCTTGGACTAACTGATGCCTGCTCCTGAGTCGCTGGCCGTATTTATACTGGAGCGGCCCGGGCCGGCCGCCGGCCGCCTGGATTTTTGGAGCCGGACCCCTCCC